ACAGCAACCACGAGTTACCTCTGTACAGCAAGTGGACATATCAGGGCTATATGACCTAGAAGAATGTTTCACCAAAATCAATTAAAGACATGTCTGAGGGCTGCGGATTAGAGTCAGCCACCTTTGGCTTGATAGCGTCACTTTCTGTGTACTAGGGCAACTGATCTCTCTCTATGTTGTTGTTGTTGTTAAGTGCCGTCGAGTCGTAGGTGACTCGTAGCGATCCTATGAATGAAAGACCTGGACACTTGTATAACTTTCATCCTTTCTCCAGATTAATAGGGTATCCAGAAGCAAGCTATTTCGGAAGTGGATGCCACTCCTGTTTCCAAGCTTGTTCTAATCGGGGAACTCCACCAAAAGGGGCCAGGAGGCTAAGTAAATGGAGTTGAAATAATTTTGGTAGAGATAGTAAAAATGTCGTAAGCAAAAGAAAGTAACTAATGTCCCTGAGCTGTGTATGTGGAAATTATTGCACAGGTATATGTTTTTTGCTGTGTATTCAATTCCACCAAAAATAAAATTTAAAAAGAAGTGAGAGTTCAGTAGAGCTTCTCAAGTGAATAATACTTTCTGTAGGTAGCTGTTTGGGAAAGGGAGTTGTACATCACTGCCCAAATCTGCTGGGGAGTATAGTCAGTATGTTCTAGAATTTCTTTAGTGTTTTTGTCTCTCTCTTTCTCCCTAATATCTCTAACAAATAAAGAAGATTTAATAAAATGATTGCTCTGAAAAGTGGATTAGGCTCTGTGAAAAGTAATTTTATTTTAATTATTTCCCCTGAAATATGGAAAGTACTCAATATTCTAGAGTAAAAAAAAAAAAAGAAATTAAAAGAGAAAGAAATCAAAGAAAATTCTTCAACTCTTTTGCAGTAAGAATATATCCCTTTTCTACTTTACTATTTTGCCACAGTATCATAAAACTGGGAACTTTGGATTTTTTAGTTCCTTTTCCTTTTGTCTATAATTCGTGGTAGAAGTGTGGAAAGATGACAAATAGGAATGAGAAGGCCTGGCATACAAATATACAAACTAATCTGAATAGTTAAGTATTATCTATCATTGACTAGGGAGCAATCTTTAACAGCCTTTGTTTGGAGTCAATTGCTTGGTAATAAGTAATCAATTTTGTATTTTAATTTTTTGTTTCAGAAATCAGCAAGACTAATGCTGAAAAATTTACCAATAACTGTAAGTTAAGACATTTTATTGTGAATTTAACTCATCTATAAGTATTTCCCCATTTTCTTAAAAAGGGAGCTTGAAGACACCATCATATATAAATTCACAGTATTTTTTTCAAAATTAGATATATATCTGGAATTTCTTTTTGAAAAAAATCCCTTGTATGTGTTATATATTTTCAAACTTATAAAGAGTTGCAACAAAAGAAGTGAAATGAGAATGGATTAAAAAATTGGTTTATTAGAGAAAAATATCTATATAAATCAAAGATTCAAGAAAAATGGACATATTAAGAGGAAAATACAAAACTAGGCTATATTAAAAGCAATTCTTATAAGATAAAAACAATGTTGTAACTGTAAAGTAAATTATTTTTAGAGGATCAATATGAGGCCCATGAAATAACACAATCTATTTATGTCTTTATTCATTAAACATCTATTGTCTACATTGTGCCTTAAAAAATAGTAATTTGTTGTGTGTCGTCAAGTCAGAAATGACCCATAGCTAACCCTGCAGTGGGTTTTCAGAGGCAATAATTGCTTGGGAGGACCTCTGGTGGCATAGTGGCAAGAAGCTGTGCTGCAATACTGCTGCTCCACGGCAGAAGGATAGGCAATCTCCTCCAGTGAGATTAACTGCTGCTGAAAACACACTGGAAGGTAAGCTATGGGATGGTTCTCACTGTATGGTACACAACAAAGACAACAATCTCTTGGGAGGAGATTGCCCATCCTTCTCCAACAGAGCAGCTGGTGAATATCTTATATAAGACATAGATGTTAATGAAGTAGTCTCCACCTTCAGAAAGTTTGCATCTACTTAGAATTATATATGTGTTTCTATTATGCAATGTTGTTATTTAAGAAAAGACAATGGTTGAAACACCCCTGAGACTGGAAACAACTGTCAGTAGAAGTCACTGAAATAAAAATAGAGTAGGTTACTAATGTCAGAGTACATTTCACATAAAACAGCACCATTTAGAAGGTGTAGAACAATCATTGAAGGTTTTCAGGTGTTTTTTTTAGACTTCTTTTTTTAAAATTAGCTTGAGTGAAAGTTTACAGAGACTTTGGATTTCCATTCATTCATTGTTACACTTTTCTCCCTGCCCATGTAAAAGAAAAATTCTTTCATTGTTATTTAATCCCTACCCCACCCCCAAGTGCACTCCAGTATGCTGCCTTCATTCTGGACTCCTGTCATGACAATAATACCTAATCATATATCCCTTTTAAACAGTTCTCTCCCTCATCTGTTTTAATAAATGTATTTAGAGGAAACAAGTGGTTTACATTGGACTCTTAACCTAAAGATAGGTAATTTGAGCTCTAATATCTTAGTGGTAAGGAATTGCATTGTCAACGAAGAATTATACAGTTTGAATCCACCAGCTGCTCCACAGGTGAAAGATGAGCAGTCTCCTGTGTGATTTACTATCTCCAAAAATCTGCTATAGAGAAAGCTATGAATCGATTACAACTACATGATATGCAACAAAAACAGGACACATCAAAACACAGGGAAATCTGTTTCTGGAAAGGTTACAGGCTTGAAAACATCCATCATGGAGCATCCCTACTTTATATCATAAAAGGGTTACCATGAATAGAATGTACTTAATAGTAACTAATAATGTGTTTTAAAATACTTTGCTTTAAAAGAATCATCAAAGATATCTACTGTAGTGCTAATGAATCTTATCCTCAGGTTGTGGAAGACAACTGACCAATAGTATCAAAGCAGATAACCGAATTGTGAATGGAAAAAGAGCTCTGGAAGGGGCATGGCCATGGCAGGCCGATTTACAGTGGAAAGGTAAACAACACTGTGGTGCCTCTCTGATCGGCAGCAAATGGCTATTATCTGCAGCTCATTGCTTTGCAAAGTAAGTGTAAAAATCTTTCTAATATGGAGGATTCGTGGTACAGATCTGAGTGTTCCTAGGTGCTAAGAGGATCTCTGATATCTAGGTGTTGCTGTTGTTATGTGCCGTCGAGTCGCTTGCGACTCATAGCGACCCTATGTACAACAGCCCTAAACTCTGCTCTGTCCTGTGCCAATCACATTGTCTCTGACACACCCATCCTGATTACCCCAGTCACTGAATCAATCCACCTCATAGAGGGCCTTCCCCTACTGTGCTGTCCCTGCACCCTACTAAGTATGATGTCTCTCTCCAAGGACCAGTCCCTCCTGACAACATGTTCAAAGTATGTTAGACAAAGCCTCAGAATCCTGGCCTCCAGGGAGGCGCCCAGTTTAACCCTCTCAAGGATGAATCTGTTTGTTTTCTTAGTAGTCCATGGTACCCTCAATATTCTTTTTCAGCACCACAGCTCAAAGGCATCAATTCTCCTATCCTCCTTACTCATTGTCCAACTCTCTGATGCATACCACGTGATTGCAAAGACCATGGCCTGTACCAGATGCACCTTAGTCTCCAGAGACGCACCGTTGCTCTTTATCCCATCACAATACATCTTTTAATTTCCTGGCTGCTGGTGCCAAGAGTGTTGATCATGGAGCCAAGCAAACTAAAGCTGTGAAAAATCTCAATCTCTTCACCATCCATCCTGATGCTGCCAATTGGTCCAGTGGTGAGAATCTTTGTCTTCTTGACACTGAGCCTCAATCCATATTGGAGACTGCAGTACTTGACCCTCTGCAGCAGGCGCTTCAGATCCTCCTCAGTTTCAGCAAGCAGGGCTGGGTCATCTGCATAACACAGTTTGTTGATAGATCATCTACCAATCCTGACACCGCATTTCTCCTCATAGAGCCCAGCCTCTTGGATAATCTGTTCTGCATACAGGTTGAAAAGATAAAGAATTTGTCTGCTAACTAAAAGGCAGGTTGTTTAAACCCACTATGTATTAAAATAAAACAAAACAAAGAAAAACCAAACAAAAAAACCCCCCCACAAAACAAAAACCAGATCCAGGATCCCTACTGTCCAAGGGTTAAATAATTTGGCTAACTAAACAGCAAGTTGTATAAACCCCGAGAGAAAAGATAAGGTGTCTGCTTCCTGAAAGGTTATCCTTTTGGAAATCCTATGGACAGATCTGCTCTGTCCTATAGGGTCATTATAGGTAGAAAGAGATTTGATAGCAATGGATTTTTTTTGTTGAATGTTAAACCAGCATATGTGAAGGTTCACTGGAACTGTACGTGAAAGACATCTAAATTGGCAACAAGGAGGAAAATTTGCAAAACCAATTACATTTTCCAAATAGCTATTTTGGACTGGTATTGTCTTTTTAATATAAATTCATTTACTTTTAACAACAATTCTGCATGGAAGGTATAATTTTCTCCTATTTAAAATTGAGCAAACTAGAGCTCACAGAGAGAATTAACTTTGTCAAAACTACGCAGATCTTAAGCAACCCAAATTTAATGCAAACTCAAGTGTATTTGTTACTAGTCATTTATATGGTCTTCTTCATTATCTAGTTGAAGAAAATTCAGAGTTATGACTTAAAAGTCTTAGTATAGTATAGTGGTTTTTATATAGTAAGTTCGTTCTTTGGAAATGTGAGAAAAAGTACACATTCAGTTTAGATAGAAAATGGTAAGATTTGATCTAGACCATAATGATACAAGATTTGATTGATAGAGTGTGGGAAAAGGAAAATAATATGTATTAAAATGCATGAAAACACAATTTTGAGTAGATAGAACTTGTGGAAATACACAGCAGTAAATATAGACAAATATTTCAGCTATACTTTACTGTTGTTGTTTTATTGTTATTTGCCATCAAGTAACCTGCAACTCACAGCTACCCTATGTACAACAGCTCTGAACTCTGCTCTATGCTGTGCCAACCTTATTGTCTCTGACACATGTACCCCTTACTCCAATCACTGAGTCAATGTAGACAATTCTAAATGACAAAATAGAAGCCAATGAACTGTGGTCCAACTGAGAGGGTTCTAGTTAACAGTGCAGGTCCTTCAGGCTCATGCTAGATCTTTTAAATAAATCTCTGGAAGTGGAAGTCTGAGTAGATTCCAAAGGAATGAAGTTTAGGAAGTACTCGCATTGAGGGGGGAGAGTTACTTGAAGACTTTAGAATAAATGATTGATTAAGAGTTGTTGTTATTGTTATGTGCCATCGAGTTGCTTGCTACTCACAGCGACCCGAGGTACAAGAGCCCTAAACACCGTTCTATCCTGTGCCAACCTTGCCATCTCAAACACACTCATTCCCACCCTTCGCTCACAGAATCGATCCATCTCATACAGGGGTCCTCTCTTGCACCGTCCCTCCACTCTCCCAAACATGATGTCCCTCTCCAAGGACCAACCAGTCCCCCCTTGCAACATGCCCAAAGTATGTCAGATGAAGCTTCAGAATCCTTGACTCCAAGGAGCATTCCTGCTTCACCTTCTCCAGGACAAACCTGTTTGTTCTCCTAGCAGTCCATGATATATTCACACTCTTCTCCAGCACCACAGCTCAAAGGCATCAATTATCTTTCTATCATCCCTATTCACTGTCCAACTCTCTGATGCATAGTGCATAATTGTGAAGAGTATAGCCCAGATCAGGCACACCTTAGTCTCCAGCCTGATGTCATTGCTCTTCAGTACTCTTGAGAGGTCCCTCACCGCTGACTTTTCCAATGCAATTTGTCTCTTGATTTCCTGGCTGCTGGTACCAAGAGTGTTTAGTAAACTAAAACTGTTAACTATCTCAATCTCTTCACCATCCATACTGATGCTGCCAGTTGGCCCAGTGGTGAGAATCTTTGTTTTCTTGATGTTGAGCTTCAATCCATATTGGAGGGTGCAGTCCTTGACCTTCTGCAGCAAACGCCTCAGGTACTCCTCAGTTTCAGCAATCAGGGTTATGTCATCCCCATAGCACAGGTTGTTGATGACTCTTCCACCAATCCTGATGCCACATTCCTCCTCGTACAGCCCAGGATCTCAGATGATCTGTTCTGCATACAGATGAAAAGGTATGGAGACAGAATACATCCCTGATGGACCCTCTTCTTGATTTTGAACCATGTAGTGTCTCCTTGCTCTATTCTGATGACTGCCTCTTAGTCCAAGTATAGGTTTCGCATTAGCACAATCAAATGTTCTGGGATTGCCATTCTTCTCAGAGTTAGCCATAGCTTGTTGTGATCCACACAGACAAAAGTCAATAATCATATTCAATGAAACACAGATAGACATTTTTCTGGTATTCTTTGCTTTCTGCCAAGATCCACCTAACATTAGCTATAATATCCCTAGTACCACGACCTCTTCTAAATCCAGCCTGCACATCTGGCAGTTCTCTGTTGACAGATTGTTCTAAGCGTTTTTGTAAAATGAAGGCCTTAATATCTAAAATAATAACAACAAAAACATCTATCCCTACATTATAAGAGAGAAAAGACAATAATAAAACAAGATGACAGATCCTAACCTGAGAAAAAAAAAACTCAATGAAAAGTGATAAGAAAATATAATTAGATGTCAAAATGCAAAAGCATCAGTGACTCTAGCTTGAAAGATCACATAATAATGTTTTTATGTGACTGCAAAATTTATAATAATCTTATGCTATGGACATTTTTTAAATTAAGGGTTCTAGGGATTTATAGTACAACACTGAGAACACCATGCCTTCAAGTGCTGAGATCACAAATTAAGAACACTAAGTGTATATTAATTTAATTCTTTCCTCTAGGAAAAATAATTCAGAAGACTGGACTGTTAATTTTGGAACAATAGTAAATAAACCATATCTGACACAGAAAGTTCAAAACATAATTATTCATGACAATTATAGCAGTTCTGCGTTTCATGATGACATTGCTCTTGTGCAACTTGAGAAAGAAGTTGTTTTTACAAAGTATGTTCGTAAGATTTGTCTTCCAGAAGCCAAAATGCAACTCAAGGAAAATGACAGTGTTGTAGTGACAGGATGGGGGACCCTTTATATGAATGGTAAGTTTTTCTGAAAAAATGTAATAGTTTTATGGCAATAATTAATTACACAATCACTCACTCATGAAATTAATTATTCAATGTTGTTAGGTGCTGCCAAGATGAGTACGACTCCTAGTGAGCAAACTGTTCAATATGTATAACAAAAACCCAAAAATCACTAATGTTGAATGGAAGGAAAAAAACCCATGGCATTGCCTTCAATTTATGTAATATTTATGAAAATTGAAGATGGGAATACTGGAATCATGTGTGAGGCAGTCATCTTAATAAATATCTGAAAGACATCAATATTGCTTAGGTCTGATCTAGCTCTTGGCAACTAAAAGAAACTATTTTACTCCATAAATTTTTTTTATCCCCCAAAAGAGAAAGATAAGCTTCATAAATAAAACATCATTTATTTCCTATAGGTCCCCTTCCAGGGACACTGCAACAAGCCCTGGTCAAGATTATTGACAATAAAAATTGCAATGCTCCTTATGCTCTTGCTGGTATGGTGACTGATACAATGCTTTGTGCTGGATTTATGTCAGGAGAATCTGATTCCTGTCAGGTATGTTTAGATATATTATTGAATAATTTTTTTCAAAATTACTAAGTAAAATTTTCTATGAAAAAAGACCCATTTTTTTTGTGCCCAGTAGATTCTTATAGCAACCCACTGATAAACCATTAAACCCTTCGTGAGAGATGGTAAGGATGCAGCAGTGAACACAATTCCAAACATCATGAAGTTTTCAGTCTAGGAATGTAAACAATAATAATACTGAGGAGTTTCTAAGATAAGCTGTGGTGCAGTCCTGAATGCACTTGGTTCGATTCTACCAGCTTCTCTACAGGAGAAGGATGGGCAATATCCTCCCCCCTTTAAAAAGCCACCAGAAGGTCAGCTACGGATCGGTTCCGACTTGACTGTACTCAACCAAGAGTAGTTTGCTTGTAAATCTAGAATGTTACCACTTTTTATCCTGAGATCTAGCAGATTTACCATGTGCACATATCAACCTATTCACAGGGTTTTTAGGAAGACATAAGCTCAGAGAAATGTCACAGATTTAATACCCTCCATATTAAAGGCTAGATCCATAAAACATTAACTCCTGGTGTGACTGATCTAACATCGGACAGCTCAGATACTACATCTTTAATAAATACAAGGTTCCCAGATTTTAAGCCCAAAAAGGCTTGTCTGATTTTGGAGTCCACTGGGTACTGATAACTCCAGAGAAAAGGCAAAAAAAAATTTCTGTGATGTGATAAAAAATAAAATTCTTTTTTCTATCACTTGTTTCATTTTTCTTGTTAAGAAATACACAGCAAACAGAACAAATAACTAGTTTCCACACACACCTTTTAGAAACTTTAATGGCATTTAAAAATTTTTTTAACCATTCTCACTCTTTTTTGAGTTGTTTGTTCCATTAACATAACTTGACTGTCCCTTAAGGAACAATCCAATCTTCCAAATTGCTGTTGTCAGTTTAATCCTATTAATAGCCTTAAAAAGCATAATGCTTAAATGTAGACTTTTTTTTTAATTGCATGTGCCACAGAGTGAGAATAAACTCATAGCTGACCCTACAGTGTGTCTTCAGAGGCTGTAAATTGCATGGGAGGATATTTCCCATCTTTCTTTAGTGGAGTGGCTTGTATATTTACACTAGCTGCCTTTAAGTGGGCAGTGCAACTCCTTACCACTAGGCCATCAGAGCGTCCTATATTTTTTCAAGTTAAGCTAAATTATCATTTGGTTTTCAAGGGACTTTAAAGATATATTTTTGCTTTAATGTTTTAAGATTACACAAGGGTAATATTTCCAGGGTTAATTCAAGCTTCATGCCTCCAAGAAGTCTAGAGACCATGTAAATTTGAAAATCTGTTCTGAATATCTACTTTCATATTACTTTAATCATAATTCTTTTATGGTCCCTTCTTCTTCTAGAATGATTCTGGTGGACCATTAGTTTACCCGGACTCCAGAGATATCTGGCATCTTGTCGGAATAGTAAGCTGGGGTAAAGGATGTGGTCAAAAAAATAAGCCAGGTGTATATACTCGAGTGACTTCTTATCGTGACTGGATTGCCTCCAAGACTGGAATCTGAAGAAAGAGTAACCATATCAAGAAACATAAAACAACTACATCAGATTCTTAATTGTTGCTTCAAGATCGTATACTTTTAATTCTTCATAAACCAATAACATTTGAATCTTAGTGTAAAAAATTATCAGTATTCTACCTAAAACACTTATTTATCTATTTCACTAATATAGGAAACAATAAAACAAAAATTAACATTCAAATTAGGTTATATTTTTCATTATTAATAAAATATTCATTATTAATATTTAATTACAAATTAATATTCACTGTTAATAAGAACTAATGCTTAGTTCTGATATACACCATCACGGTGTTGAAAATTACCCTTACCCTATTTTTCAGAAGTTTTGTTGTTCTTTCTTTAAATTCTGAATAATACATTAAGGGCATTTCTGAATATAAACTTCTAGGACATGAATAAACCTGCTCACTTACTAAATCATGCCATTTAGTAAGAACCAACTTATTGCTTATTTACAGTAGGTTTCTGAGGCTGTAAATCACACAGAAGGAGACTGTCCATCTTTCTTCTAAGGAGTCACTGGTGAATTAAAACCCTCAAAAAGATATGGCCTTTGTGTTGCTATACACCCCCAGAGCTTACACATGCTAGATCTACCAAATTATTTTGGAATCTGAAAATTAGAGCCGTGTGCCGTTAAGCTGAAAGCATGTAAGAAAAGTTGTTGTTGATTGCTGTCAAGTCGAGCATGACTCATGGCAACCCTTATGAACAAAAGGCGTGAAGTCTTAACTATCGTCATTTATCAAAATTCATAGGTTTCCAGAGGCATGTTGTTTAGGAAGTGGGTGCTACTCCTGCTTCCAAATTTGTTTATACATGAGATTTCTTTGTGCACTTCATAAAACTAGAGTATCATAGATGTCAGTGACTTGCTTAGATATGACAATGGAGAGAATCTTTGCTGAAAGAAATTCTTTAGCATCTCTGATGAATTGTTACCCTTACACAAAAATTCACTCTAATAGAGTTCAATTAAAATTATTTAGTTGATAAAGAATAATTTATCTTAATTGTGCAATTATTTCTCTATCATTTTTTATGTCTTTCTTTTTCCATTTCTTTTTTTTAATCTTGCAACAAATATAACATGAGAATTTACTGTATTAGCTTTCCTTACAGTGGATATGCAGTAGTACATAAGTTCTCCAAATATTTTACTGTTTGTAATTGCATAAAATGAAATTGTAAATATGATATTAAGTGACAGCTAAAATGAGATAAAATAGAAAGGGGGAATCCCTCATTTGTTTAGTTATTGTCCCTTTGTCTTTCTCTTATTATAAGGCATGAATCAAATGACATGCATAACAATGGCATGGATGTCAATCCATGACCTGATATGACAAAATGCCCCCCTCATTTTTTATGAATGTTATTCATTAAATAAGTATATCTATCATACTCAAACCACCTATAAGCTTGTTGTTTTGTGATGGTTTGGGAGTTGCTATGATGGTGGAAATTATGCCATCATCATTTAAAATAACAGTACTTAAAACCTACTGTGAACATATTTAAACAAAACCCCCCTATCAAAATGAATTGGGAAGAAAGTCTTGACAATCTGTTTATGAAGATTGTTGTTGTTGTTATGTGCCGTTGAATTACCTGTGACTCATAGCGACCCCATGTACAACAGCTCTGAATCCTGCCCGGTCCTGGGCCAGTCTCACTGACTCTGACACACCCACCCCCATTGCCCTAGTTACTGTAACAATATATCTCATTGGACTCTTCCTTTTCTGCACTGTCTCTCTACCCTTCTGAACCATGATGTTCATCTCCAAAGATTGGTTCCTCTTGTCTACATGCCCAAAGTTTGTGAGATGGAGCTTCAAAATCTTAGTCTCCAAAGAGAAACTTGGTTTCACTCTCTTCAAGACAGACCCATTTGTTTTCTTGGTGGTCAGTGGTATGTTTAATACTCTTTTCCAGCACCACAGCTCAAAGGCATCAATTCTCCTTCTATCCTCCTTAGTCACTGCCCAACTCTCTGATGCATAACAAGTGATTGCAAAGACCATAGCCTGTATCAGATGCACGTTAGTTTCCAGAGTGACACCATTGCTCTTCAGCACGTTGGAGAGGTCCCTAACAGCAGACTTTCCCACTGCATTATGTTTTTTGATTTCCTGGCTGCTGATGCCAAGAATGTTGACCTTGGAGCCAAGCAAGCTAAAGTTGTTAACAATCTCAATCTCTTCACCATCCATCCTAATGCTGATAATTGGTCCAGTGGTAAGATTCTTTGTCTTCTTGGCATTGAGCCTCAATCCATACTGAAGGCTGCAGTCCTTGACTCTCTGCAGCAAGTGCATCAGGTCCTCCTCAGTTTCAGCGAGCAGGGTTGTGTCATCTGCATATCGCAGATTGTTGATAAATTTTCCACCAATCCTGACACCACATTTCTCCTCATGGAGCCCAGGCTCTCGGATAATCTGTTCTGCATAGAGGTTGAAAAGGTATAGAGATAGGATACATCCCTGGCGTACACCTTTCCCAATTTGGAACCATGCCTTGTTTCCCTGCTCTGTTCTGATGACTGCCTCTTGGTTCAAGTATAGGTTTCACATTAACACCATCATGTGTTTTGTGATTCCCATTCTTTTCAGAGTCAGCCACAGTTTGTTATGATCCACACAGTCAAACGCCTTTGCATAATCGATGAAACACAGATAGACATTCTTCTGGTATTCGCTGCCTTCAGCTACGATCCATCTAACATTAGCTACAATATCCCTAGTACCATGACCCCTTCTAAACCCAGCCTGGACTTCTGGCAGTTCTCTGCTGATGTGCTGTTCCAGTGTTTTTGGAGAATCTTCAGTAGAAACTTCCTTGCATGTGAAATCAATGAGATTTTTCTATGGTTTCCACACTCTGTTGGGTCACCCTTCTTTGGGATGGGAACAAATATAGATCTCTTCCGGTCAGCTGGCCAAGTGTTTGTTCTCCAGATTTCTTGGCACAAGTTGGTGAGCACGTCTTGGGCAGCATCTATTAGCTGAAATATGTCAATTGGTATACCATGTTTTCCTGGGGCCTTGTTTTTTCTGTTTCCTTCAAAGCAGCCTGAACTTCATCTTTCATCACCATAGGCTCTTGCTCATATGTTGTTTCATGAAATTCTTCTGTGTCTGCCAATTCCTTTTGAAACAGTGACTCAGTATATTCTTTCCATCTTCTTTTAATACTTCCTGGATCCTTTAATATTCTGCCTAAAGCGTCCTTGATAATAGCAACTCGAGGTTTGAATTTGTTCTTCAGTTCCTTGAGCTTAAGAAATGCTGAACGAGTTCAGCCCTTTTGATTTTTCCAACTCCAGCTCGTTGCACATTTCATTGTAATATTTTGTTTTGTCATCCCGTGCTGCCTTTTAGGATCTTCTGTTCAGCTCTTTAGTATCTTGAATTCTTCCTTGTGCTTTGGCTTCTCTGCGCTCTTTCCATAAATTATGGACCATAACTTGATGGCCCATAAATGTCAACTTGACAGCAACATAAAATGAATAAGGCTTTCTGGTGGCATGTTCTACAGGGAGTTGTACTGCTAACCCCAAAGCTGAGCTTCTTAGCAGTTTGAATATACCAGCATTTCATAGGAGAAAGATGGACAGTCTTCTCCCAGGCAAATTAACCCCCCCCCCCAAACCTCACTGGATGGTCACCTATGTGTCACTTTCAAAACAATGGCAGTAAATATGAGATTTTTGAGTTTTATAAAATAAATAATACCACCAAGGAAGTGAATAATAATACCAAGGTAAGTAATCTTCAGGACAATCAAATATTTGAGATTAAAAGAGCATCATTTGTCCCAAGACAAAGCTCAAAATTAAGAAAGGCAAAGAAAGAAGATGAATGAAAACATGGAACCAAAAGAGGAAGTATAAAGAATTACATTGAAGGTATTTCAACCAATATCACAAAAGCAAATGTATACAAATTTTTGAAATTTCTTGTAATTTAAATATTTGCACCATTAAAATGGACATATGCTAGAAATAAGCTCACATCCAAGAGAAGGTGGTTAAACATGCTTAATGTGACTATTTATTACTTACACTTTTTTAAAAAAAAAACAAAAAAACCTCAAAACTTCACCAGAAGATTTAACTAGAGTAAAATATCTATTTCATAACATTGCAGAGTAGACTTTGGCCATTGTGACCTATGTTTTCCTAAATTTCCTTACTACCTTCTGTTAACTAAGGTAAAATTGTTTGTTACTGCTTTACATTTTGCATAAAAAAAGAGAACATTTCAGAAGATGAGGTTTTTAAAACAATTCTTAGAGATGTGTCAAGGAAAGTTATACATAATTAATCATTATATATCAGAAAAAAATCACATGCCATTATTTTGATTTCCATAATATTTGTATGTTGTTGTCGTTACATGCTATTGAGTTGCTTGCGGCTCAAAGTGACCCCGTGTTCAATAGTCCTAAATCCTGCTCTATCCTGTGCCATCTTTATTGTCTCTGATACACCTATTCCACAACCACAGTGACTTAATCAATCCATCTCATCATTTATTTTAAAATAATTACACAAAGGAAATAATTTTATGCTTTAAATTTTGTTCCCTGCCCCGAAAATGATCTCTGATTAAAATTTGTCATAATAGTTACTTTTGAATAAATATAAGGGTGGATACATACAAATCAGGAAAAAAAATTCATTAACTAGCAATTTCAAGTTTTCTGAGCCTAGATGCTGCTTAAGTCATATTTGTCTCAGCTCAAAATAGCAAGATTCAACGAAACAGGAATTACCAGCCTAGGTAACGACTCACATTATCTTCCTTGCCATTTGATTAAAGAGAAGAGATTAAGAGGAATAAAAGTATGCTTTGGTCACAGCAAGCTACTCGAGGGGAAGAGAACTAATATAAATTTACCTAGCTTCCTTTAAAAAATGCTTCTTGTCATTTGAATCATTGAAACTCTTGCTTCTTCCCAATGTTCTATAAAAT